GGATGTATCTCAGTGGCAGAGCAACGAACATGCTCCAGGCCCTGGATTCTATCCTCAGCACCAAGTGTGTGTATGGGGGGGCAGGGGGGACAGGGGGCGATTGGCCAACAGAGAGGTGGCCAATTTGACGTATCTGCTCCTCAAGGAAAAAAACGTTCTGTATGGGAAGAGCATCGTGTAGCTCCAGTGTGGATGTTGTGCTCGTCATGGCCACCACCTAACCTGAGTCTCACATGAAAATGCATGGGCAACAGTAGATGGCTAAGAACACCAGGCTTCTCGCCCTTTGAGATTCTACTCTCTCTCCAGGCCTGAGGTTTCTTTCTCTCCACTCCATTCTGCACTCTTTAGGCAGAGTAATCTTTTTCACAACTCAGCTCTAATTCCTTCTGTTCCTTAAAACCCTCAGTCCCCATCTTGGACCCTATTCTTATGCTTCTCTTCTATGTTTCTGGCCACAGTCTTCTGTTTGTTCCCCATCCTTGCTTAGAATGCAATGCCTTCCATTGCTTTGGTCAAGGTGGAGGTCCTAAAATACACTCCTACAGCCGTGCTCTCTCTCCTGAGCACCAGACACACAGACTTACTAGATATCTCTGTTTGGTAAATTTACAGACTCCTGAAACCCAGCAACCTCAAAGCTGCATGCACTCTTTCCCTACATGTGTGTCTGCTGCCATGGTCTGTGTGAGTAAAGGGCATTCATCAGCCTTTAAAGGAAAGTGACCACAACACTCGGAGCAACCAAAAGATCTTTACTGCAGCAGTGCAACAAAGAGAAAAGAAAGAAGGAAAGAGAGAGAGAGAAAAGAGGAGAGATGAAGAGGGAGAGAGCAAGAGCAAGAAAGAGACAGAGCGCACGCAAGAAAGACAAAGAGAGCAAGAGAAAGAGAGAGAACAAGAGAGAGAGAACAAGGGGGGGGGGGCCTGGCAGGAGGGAGTTTTTATAGCCCAAATCTAAAGGGGCCTCTGGATCTGCAAGCTGCCTTGTTGGCCCAAGTGGGGGTTAAGTGTTCAGCCTTGAGCCTTGAGCGGGGTTGAATGTTCAGACTTGAGGCAAACAGGTGATAAAGGACCAGATAGAGGGGGGTTTGAGTGCGTGGGCTATCTTGCAGCCAACATCTGTTCAGCCTGCCCTGCAGACAACACAGGTCAGCCTGCTCTGCACCCAACAAGCCTCTGAAGCAGAAATCTGGGAGTGCCCTTGACTCTTCCATCTCAGCCATTCAGCACCAGATTTTGTCCCCTTAATATCTCTGGCACCAGCCATTTCCCATCCTCACTCGATTACCCAACAATTGTCTCCCCCTCTTCTTTCCTGGTTGCAACAACCTCCAAGAAATTTGACTTCCTGATTACTATCTTGTTTCCAGGTCATTCTTCACAGCCAGTCAAAACCAAGTAAGACTACCCTCACCCCCAGGACTTCCACCATCTTTAAGGTCCCTTTTGTCCTGTCTGGCCCCACTGTAGCCATCTGGAGCCCCTAAAGTTCCCAGAACAGCCATATAGTTATATACCTTCTCTTGGATCCTAGCACCTGTTTTTCCCTCTGACTTCAAGGCCCTCTCCCTTATAGCCTGATTAATGCCACTAGTTTTGAGGCCCAGTCAAGCAGTACCTCCTCTAGGAAGCCTACCTTGACCTACCCCTCCACATTCTCCCTTAGAGACTTTACTTCACACAACTGTAATCACATCTTGCCCCCTTCCCAACTCAAGGGCAAGGCCATGTCTTATTAATCACTATCTCCTATAGTAGCTAGCAGAGTGTCAGGCACATAGTAGGTGCTCAGTAAATGTTTGTTGAATGAATGATGGTTAGTTATTGGCACAAGGCTTGGACTCAGACCTATGGCTGTAAAACCCCTGTCCTCCCCAACACTCTCAAATGAGATCTACTTATCTTTTTTGGGGACATAGTGAAATCACATACAAAATTCTCTCATCCCACCTGCACCCCTGGTACTGGGCTTTGAACCCAAGGGGCACTCTACCACTGAACTTCATCCCCACCCCTTTTTATTTTTTTATTTTGAGACAGGATTCCCTAAATTGCCCAGGCTGACCTTGAACTTGGGATCCTCCTGCCTCAGCCTCCGGAGTAGTTGGGATTACAGGTGTGTGCCACTGCGCTGGGCTTTACAGAAAGAATTCCCGCCAGAGTGCGTTCTGCTCATGAACACTAACTCTCTTCAAACTCAGAAGAGTCACAAAACGTCTCGAGGCCTAATCGAGGTCATCTGTGGCCTCACCCAGGTATGTATGAGCTGGGCTGGGGGCCGGGTCTGGAAGAAGGCAGGAAGAAGGAGAGGTCCAGAGCTTGTCCCTGCAGCCCCCACTAATGGTCACAGTGCTCCCAGAAGGCCGAGAACTCGGGGGCGGGGGCTTCAGCCTGCACGCCTGCAACTGCCCGGGTCTTAGAGGGTCAGTCAGTCCCGGTAGAGCTGCAGTGATGGATGGGGTGGCACCCGGCGCCCCGGAATCCTGTCCCGGTTGGGCCGCTCTGACACTGTGGACGACCCTGCGCACTCAAGCCTCTCTCCTAAGGCGGCCGGACCCACCTGCCTGGCGGCCCGGACCGAGCCACCGGCGAGCTCTGGCAGATCTCAAGGCGACTCGGCCTCCAGGCTGGGGCTGTCTCACGTGCAAAACGCCTACCACGTATTTTCAGAGTAAACGCATTTATGTGAAAAGCAGCCGGTGACACGGGCTTCCCACGTGTGAGTGCTTGGTCAGGGGAAATGCCCTCATGGCGGAAACCCGTCTGGCTAGAGACACTGAGGCAGAAAAGGATCTGTGAACCCACCAAGGAGCTAGGTTGTCTTCGGTGCCTAGGAGGGTGACTCCCATCTCAGGCACCTGGAAGACTGCCTGCACAAGCCGACTGCTGGAAGCAACTGGTGACCTTGCCAGGGTCTGGGGTGGCCGGCAAACTCGGGGCAAGTAGGGAGTGGGGGTGGGGCAGTTGCTCCAATTTAGGTTTCTAGCGTTTTCTTTCGGCCAGTGTTCTCCAGGACTTATCGCACAAGCCACAGGTGCTGGTGAACGCTTAAAATATGCTAGTGCAATGGAGGAATTGAATTCTAAATTTAATTTTATATGATATTTTAATTAATGGAAACTGACCAGATATTCAATTCAGTTACTGAAAAACTTTTAAGTGTATCTGGAACAATTTGAGGATGTGAATGTATTTAGGACTGCATATTTAATGAGATCTAAATACAGATCAAGTACAGCTGATGAAAATTTAATATCTGAATTGGGCTCTAAATGTCAAATTTCTCACAAGATTCAAAGACAGCATGCGAAAAATGCAAAATGCCTCATTAATAGTTTACAGTTGAAGTAATATTTTGAGTAAAACAAAATATACGTTAAATGATTCTTACTAGTTTCTTTTCCTTTTTTTGAATGTGGCTATTAGAAAATGGACAACTACATATGAGCCTTGCCTGAGTTTTTTCTCAGCCCCACTCCTCTGGCCCCCACATTGAGGCCTGGCCCTTGGCCTGTTCCATGGTCTTGCCTGATCTCTGGAACAGCTGCTGTTGGAGGAGGCCAGATCACATGCAGAGGCTGAAGCTGGTTTAGCTCTGCAAAAACACTGTCTACCTAACTGTTATCTCTTCCAAGAACAAGAGACTGGAAGTGACCATCCTGACAGCCAGTTTGGGAGCCAGAAGCACACTAGGACGGTAGGCCTTCAGGGCCAGGTTAGCCTGGGATTAGAGTAATGATCAAGGAATATCTGGCTCTGAGAAATTCTCATGAACCAGTCTGGAAGGGAAAAAATTCAGGGCTACAAAACAGCCATTTCTGCAACCTGTATTCAAAATGAGGGTTTGGTCACAAGGACTGTGCTCTGGAGAGCAGGTGCGCAAGCCCCATGTAAGACTCAGAACCCAGCTCCTTCCTGAGAGTCTGAGTTCATCTGTCAAGGCTCTAGAAGTTCTACTGTCTGCGTATGAGGCAGGAGACACAGCTGGGGTTGGGGAGCTGGGGAAGGAAGCCCAGACAAGGTTCTTACCCTTACCAAAGTCATGATCCCATATCGTCCCTTGGGTTCAGCCCCACTAGGGACCAGATTACCCCACATTGTTCTCCTTACCTACCACTCCTGTGGGATTCCTGGTACCCTCTGAACCATAGCTTGACCCAGTGGGCCCTGTGTGCCTCTGCTCCCAATTAGGCAGCCCTAAGTATAATCTTACAGAGGACTAGTGCTCAGAGGCTGAAGGCATGTGTGTAGGATCCAGGTTGACCACCCTGCACCCTGCACTGTGCCCCACCTCCCAAACTCCAAGGCCACACAAGTGGCGGGGGCTGCCTGGCCAGATTCCGCTTCAGTCCCAATTCTTGATCCACTAACACAAAAAAGCAGGGCAGAGGGCTTATGCAGCCCTTCCTACAAACAGCCAGCCAGCTTCCTCCACTTGCTCATTATGCTGGCTGAGTTTGCCATGCAAACAGAACAAAGTCCAGACCTCCTGACCACAGGCAACAAGCCTGCAGAGTTACTGTGCTGCCCTTAAAGCTTTCAAGTTTACATTGTCATTAACCTTCCCAAAGAGGTTAGGTCCTTGGTTCTGGCCTGGAGTAAGTGGCTCATTTACATCTCAGGTTGAGGGCTTCGGCCTTGACCTTGCTTTGACAATTGAGAGATTCCTCTTGGAGACAAACACTTTGAAAGAAGAGAAACTGTGACATGAATATTACAGAGGTTTCTCTGAGACTCAGTTGAAGCTGGTTTAGCTCTGCAAAAACACTGTCTACCTAACTGTTATCTCTTAAAAAAATCTCTTTTTAAATATTTACTTCTACTTTCCTGTTACATATTTTCCAATTCCAGCCATTAGGGCTGTGGGGCTGTCATCCAGGACTGGGTCACTTTCAGGCTGCCAACTATTCGAGAGGCTTTGGCCATCTGCTCAGATTCCCTACTCCCAAGAGCATGTGAGGAACACGCTATGAGAACAAAGGGGAAGATTCACTCAGTTTTGATTAGACACCAGTGGGGTACTGTTTGGTTTTATTAGATAAAAGGAATTATCCATTCAAGTCAGAAGCGGCAAACTATTGCCACATTAGAGATTAGTACCAGAAAACCCAGACGCTGGGCTGGCTAGTAGACCCTCACCCATGGCTCCAGGGAACCACTGATCTAATTCAAGGTCTCTGGCTTCCCACAGGCCCACTAAACTTCATGCCTTCTAAAGTCCTTCAGGGAAGAGACCCATCACCAAGATCATCCCTGGTAGCACCCAACTAATCTGTCTGCTAGGAAACAGCACTGAGACTGTCCCTTCAAGGATGGTACACATCACAGCCATGTCTCAAGGAAACAGAGATCCATCTCAGCTCTGTTTTACCAGTTGAGAGTAAGCACCCAAATCCCAGGAAACAAAGACTTTTTTCTTAACTATTCACAAGAAATCCTGAAAGTAATGAAAAAATAATGTATAAAACACCGCTTAAACCATAGACTGCAAACTCAAATGCTCACCTGAGCCAGCACCAGGCAGGTGTCATGTGAAGGAAGTGCAGTGGGGGATGGGGTGGGTGGGAAGGTAGGAGAGGGCATCTAAGTGGAGAAGGAAATGAAAACATGCCCCACATCCACCCAGAAAACTAGATTTTTTTTAATGTGCCAAGTCTCAAACATTGGCAACAAATACAAAAGATTTTTAAACCCTATAACTTCTGCCTTAGACAAATTCCTAACTAATAACAAGCCCCCTCCCCACCACCAGATAAAATTCCAACCAAAATTATTATAAAGAGATCAATGAGGAAATAGAAAAATATAGCAGCTTCGAATATACCAGTCTCCCCAGTTAAAAGTAAAACCAATGAATCAAAATTTCTTGAATTCCTGCTATGTAAAGATGCCAGCTGGATCTATCTACTGGGGAGACAACCCTGCATTATTAAAAAATGTCACTGCCACCCAGGCCCAAGGAAGATGTTGTCTCGTGGGACCTCACACCATCCCTGCGAGGCCAGGGAGGGGTAGGACCTGGCTCCCTGTTATGGAAAAGAAATTGAGGCACAGAATAGAGAGGGCCCTTCCTTAACATCACAGAGCCCCTCGGCTAGAGGCTTCCGTTCTACAATTTGGCAACATCACAGAGAAAGCTGAAATAACAACTGGAAGGCCGCGAGCTAAAGAGTGGGCACGACTGTGTCTGCTGAACGAATCGATAGCAGGAATGAATGGGCGTGGCCACTTCCCTGAGGGGTGGGGGGTTCCCACCGGGGAAATCAGGAGCTGCCCTCCCGCTTGAGTCTGAAGACCGGATTTCTCCAGGGCTCAAAGTCGACAAGAGAGGGATGCTGAGCAGCCTGTGGGTGAACACAGGCCTTGCCGGCTCTGCAGGGAACATCATCGCCCTGTCTGACTCAGGCCACTTAGAGGAAAGGCTGCACTCACCCTGGGGTGCCACAGTTCTGCAGAGCCTCAAAGTAGAGAGCTACCCGTCTCCTTGGCTTAGAGAAACTGAGGTACAGGGCTGAGTCTGCTTTGACCTTGGGATAGGAACTGAGACCTAGAGCTGACCCGAGCATCCCCTGCCCCCTGCCTTCCTCTGGGTGGTGCTGTGGGCAGCTCCCAGCATTCTTACCCTCCAAGGACTTGGCACAGAAAGTCAATATCAACATGAGAAAGAGAGCAGCCCTTTCTTCTCACCGGCATGCAGGGCTATTTCTGTCCTGGCCCTGCAACACAGGGACCATCTTGGCTCTGGCCTGACAGGCCCCCGGGGCAACAATGTGGTCTTTATTTTGGCTTGTTCTAAGAGCCAAGGTCCCAAGAAGCCTGACACTCTCTGGGGGGACTCTTCCCAGAATTTGACAGGAAAAAGGGACTGGTTCTTCCAGTGTCTCAAAGGTGTCACAATATTGAGTGAACCAATTCTTTGCTGTTGGAGACCACCCTGTACATTGCAGGATTCCCACTAAATGCCAGGGGTGCCCCACAGTCAGTGACCCACCCCAACACACAGGTTTCCAATGCTGCCTGGAAGGGCAGCCCAGCCCCTGGCTGAAAAGCCAGTGGGTTGGCAGCCCCTCATGCATTTGAAAACAGAAGTCCCAGAGATGGAATGACACACCCCAAGTCACAGCCCAGATCTGATGATATCTGGCCCAGAGTTCCTTCCAGCTGCACTCTCCTGCATGTGTCCAGAGTGCTGCACACACCCTGGGGTGCCACAGTTCTGCAGAGCCTCAAAGTAGAGAGCTACCGGTCTCCTTGGCTTAGAGAAACTGAGGTACAGAGAGCTAAAATAACCTTACTATGATCACAGTAGCAAATGGCAAGTGGAGAGCCGGTCCCAAGGGACAGTTTTCCTAGGCCCTGCCTGTCTTAGCAAGTCCTGCTCCCGAACTGGCAATAGGGAATGTGACAGCCCCTAAAAGAGGGGTTTTCACAATCACCACCAGACAAGGTCAGCTTGGGGGCTCAGTGAGAAGGGTCAGGCCTCAGGGTGTGGGTCAGAGCCAGGGACAGTCTGAGGGTCCAGCCTTCATCTGGTTTCTCCAGTGGGCTCAGGGGGCATGTGAACGACTCCATCACAGGCTTTGGGTCCACTTCCACGGTCTTCACAGTCTCCGTTGGGAAATATGGTTGTGAGTGCCAGCTCCTCCTGTGAGTCTTGGAAGTTCTCTGGAACACAGAAGGAATGACCAATCAGAAGAAAAAGTTTATAAGTCGGTAAGCAAGGACTGAAAGGGAGGAAGTTGCCCCAGTGCGTATCTACTTTAAAAAGCCAAACAAAATACAGATCAAAAACCTTAAAAATGTACATACTCTTTGACCCAGCAATTCCACTTCTAGGATTTTATCCTGAGGAAATAATTAGGAATAATTAGTGGAACTGCTGCAGCCATCTTGCTTCCAGTCTAAGGAGGAAACATACATTGAGGATGGCCCAGAAGAGAGGAGGAAAAATCCTGAGTCTTTGTGGAGTTCACTGAGTTCCTGGATCAACCAACTCTGAAGCCAACTCCACCTCTGAACTGTCCTTTAGGTGTGATAATGAATTCCTTTATATATCTTATGCTGTTTTGAGCCCCAGGCTTCTTACCCAGCATCTGAAAGCATCCTGATTCTGATTCAGTGTCCAGCAAAGGGACTCAGAGAGAAAACTATGACTCACACATATGGTGGGATTCAGCATTAGAAATGATATATGAAGTTCCATAGAACTAAAAGCACAAATGAGTGCAGTAAATTAGGTAAATCGGAATATGATCTGTGGATTACGCCCACGTCAGTATCTCCATTGTGTTACAAACACTTCAGATGTGGGCTGGGGATGTGGCTCAAGCGGTAGTGCGCTCACCTGGCATGCGTGCGGCCCGAGTTCAATCCTCAGCACCACATACAAACAAAGATGTTGTGTCTGCCAAAAACTAAAAAATAAATATTAAAAAATTCTCTCTCCCTCTCTCATTCTCTCTTTAAAAAAAAAAAACAAAAAACTTCAGATGTTACCATGGGGGACACTAAGTAAAATGTACACAGGAGCTCTTTCTCTTATTCCTTATAATTGCATGTTAATCTACAACTACCTTAAAAAAAATAAAAGATGTTACTGACATAATTATTGCCATAATATGTTATGGACGAAAAAAACAGATTCCATGGTAAGTATAAGGTCTTTTAATTTAATTTTTTTTTAGTCGTAGATGGACACAATATCTTTATTTTATTTGTTTAATTTGTTTATGTGGTGCTGGGGATCAAACCTAGTGCCTCACACAGCACCTCACACACACTAGGCAAGTGCTCTACCACTGAGCCACAACCCCAGCCCAAGTATAAGATCTTATATTTGTCATGCTTATTATAAATGTATGTACAGTTGACTCTCTATATCCCTGTATTTTTCATCCACAGATTCAACCAATTAAAAAAAGTTTTATCTGTATTGAACAAATACAGATTTTTTTCTTGTCATTATTTCCCTACATAACACAGTATAACAATTATTTTACATAGCTTTCACAATACTATAGGGATGTAAGTAATCTAGAGATGATTTAAAGTATACAGCAGGCGGTCTGGGTGTGTAAATTAATGGTAGAGAATATGCTTAGCATGTATGAGGCCCTGAGTTCCATCCTTAGCACCACAAAATAAATAAGTGAATAAAGCATACAGAAGGATATACATAGGTAAATTATACACCATTTTACATAAAGGACTTGAATATACATACATTTTGGTTTTCAAGTGGAGTTCTGGAGCCCATCCCCTTGGATACAGTAGGATAAAAGTACATAATCCATAAATGAAATTTGCCTTTTAATAAATTGAGTTCTACATGAGATTTGTTATATGCTACAGAGAAGGAAGTTATCCAAAATTTATGTACAACTATTAATGATTCCTTTGCTTTATTTCCCCCCTAGGTTCATGACAGATGCTAAATGATGACCACAAAGTTAAAAGTTAACATTTTTGTGATTGACTGTTTTTTTTTTTCTTAATATTTATTTATTTTGAATTGTAGTTGGACACAATACCTTTATTTCACTTATTATTTTTTATGTGGTGCTGAGGATCGAACCCAGGGTCTCCCACAATCGAGGCGAGTGCTCTACCTGAGCCACAACCCCAACCCCTGATTGACTGTTTTGAATACCTACTTCATTCTGCAGATTAGATATTACCTAGAAGTAAATATTAAAATTTAAATAGTACAAAGACAGTGAGAGAAGGAAAGACAGACAAATGGAATGGTCTACCCCCAAATATTGATTGTTGTTACTGCTGAATGATAGGATCAAGTGAACTTTTAGTATTCATTTTCCTTTTCTTAAAATATTTTTTAAGTTTGCAACTACAATAGGCAAAATTTGAAGCTAGCCCCAAGATCATGGCCCTTTAAGTGAGCTGCCCCTGTATAAACCCCTCCTTTGGTGTGGGTGGGCTCTGGGAATACAGAGACAGGTGTTGAACAGGGAGCCTCACAAGACAGAGGGGATGGCTAGTCACTCCTGTAACTACCTTAAACTGTGTGACACCGCCTCAGATTAGAAACAAGGGAGTCGATGTTGTTGGGGGGCCTGGTGGGAGCAAGAACAAACAGCCCCACTAACAGCAAGTCAGGGACCTTAATGTTTCTAGTTTGAAGCTACTAACTTTTGTGGCAATTTCTTTTGCAGCAATATAAGGCTGACATATCAACTATTTTTAAAATAAGGGACACAATGTCAGTTTATTTTAAACTACTGCCCATTGTCTTTCCCTTCCCTTTCTCCTGTCCCACACTGACCCTTGGGCCACAAGAAGTCTCTCCTGGGCTGCTGCAGTCCCTGACAGCTGGGCTCCACCTCTGTGCTCTCCCTGCCCCACAGTCCAGCCCCCTTTCTAAACCACCCTTCATCTTGACAGCTCTGCTCAGAATCACCAGTGGCCCTCTACCCCTGAAGGACATTCAGAGCCCCCGGTGTGGCCTAACTCTCCTCTTCACCTCAGGCCTTTACTCTCCTTCTGTACCTCAACCCTGGACACTTCCGAGGGCTTTTCTGATATCTGCTGTCAAGCTTCTGCTCGGGCTGTCCTCTCCCCCAACCTTCTCATTTCTACTTACAGAAAGACCTCCATTCCCAGCTCACATGTTACTCACTCTGACACTCCCTGGATCCTCAGGGTGCCTGACTGCTCACCTGCATTACAGACCTCCTCACACCTCCTTCACTAGGTGACACTCCTGGGGCAAAAGACCAGCCTTCCCACTGCCTGGAGGGGAGGCAGTTCACATGGCTCCCCCCATGCTCACATGTATGCAGCAGGTGCTCCATGGATGTTCTTTTGCTCTGTCCTTGAGGCCCCTGTGTCTACACACCCAGCCCTCAGGAAGGTACAGGAAGCTGAAGCACTCACCCTGAGCTGGGCATCTGGAGGAGGTGGCATCTTGGTCCTTCCTCTGGCTCCAAGGACCCCAAGTAAAACAGGCCAGCAGTCCTGGGAGGCCAGATCTCTCCCAAGTTCCTTCTTCTAGGAAGAACACAAAGCCCCTCAGGTCAAGGTCAGAAAGATGGCTCCTGCTTCATAAGACTGGAAAACGTTCTGTCCAGCAAACCAAGAGTCTCAACTGTCACCGGTCCTAGTTTCAACTGTGATCATTTCATTTCATCCTCGCAAATTACTCTATGACATTGGTACCATGCTGGGAAAACCATAGCAACAAAACGTGAAATTAATTACAATGACAAAGCACCAAAGAGAATACTCAAGGGCAGAAATGCCTCCCTGATTTTTAGTTCAAACTCTTGCTTAACAGAAATAGATTTAATATTTTTTTGGTAATCACATATGAAACAATTATAATTTGAGACAATATTGATTCTAGTTCTTAGCAAAATTAAAGTACCATTCCAGTTATTTGGAGATCACCTGGGATCCCCAAGCATCTGGAATAAAGTCAACAGGAAATGTTTTCTTTTCCTTCTTCTTCCTCTTTTTTTTTTTTTTTTAAAGAACGATTTGGATCCAGGTGTGGGGGCACAAGATTGTAATCCCAGCAACTCAGGAAGCAGAGGCAGGAGGATTGCAAATTCAAAGCCAGCCTCAGCAATTTAGGGAGGACCTGTCTGAAGATAAAAAGGGTTGGGGATATATCTCAGTTGTGAGCCCCCCAAGTTCAATCTCCAGTACTGCAAAACAAATAAATAAACAAAAATATAAATTAAGAAAATAAAAAGGACAGGGGAAGTAGCTCAGAAGTAGAATGTCACTGGGTTTAATCCCCAATAAAGGCAGGGGGAAGTTGGAGCTCATTGGTAGAGCACTTGCCTATCATTCTTTTGGGGGTCAGAGTTACTGGGGATTGAACTCAGGGGTACCTAACCACTGAGCCACATCCCCAGCCCTATTTTGTATTTTATTAGAGACAGGGTCTCATTGAGTTGCTTAGCGCCTCAATGTTGCTGAGGCTGGCTTTGAACTCATGAACCTTCTGCCTCAGCCTCCTGAGCCACTGGGATTATAGGCATGCACCACCATGCCTGACTTATCATTTTTAAGGCACTGCAAAAAAAAAAAAAAAAAAAAAAGAATAAAAACTTCTGGCAGCAGATAGGCAAAACAAAAAAACCTGTTTACAGTCTTTACTCACAGATTATTTACTCTTAATTTATATCCAGTTCTAACAAGATGGGATCCTTAGGCTTTCAACCCAAAGGCAGCTGGATTAGACACTGAAACTGTGTAAAGCAGAACTGACACAAGGCAAGCAACTTAAAAAAAAAATTATCATCTGCAGGCAGTAAGGAAAGAAATCAGAAAACTTAAAAACCAGAGCATCCAATAGGAAAACCTTAGCAATGTGAGTCCATTTGGTGTGAGGGTAATAACACTGTCCACTGCAAAAGCTGCAAAGAAATGGGTAGGCAATAAATCATAACTACAGTCCCTTTATTCAGTAATGAAAGCTTTCATTTTGTTCAGTGTGTGTGTGTGTGTGTGTGTATGTATGTATGTTGCTTTTTTTTAAAAAAAAAAAAAAGTAGGGGCTGAGGATGTGGCTCAAGCAGCAGCGCACTCGCCTGGCATGCGTGCGGCCCGGGTTCGATCCTCAGCACCACATACAAACGAAGACGTTGTGTCCGCCGAAAACTAAAAAATAAATATTAAAATTCTCTCTCTCTCTTTAAAAAAAAAAAAAGTAGGAGAGAGTTTAACATAAAATGATGCCTTTGCAAAGCATTAAACTTTTTAAAGTATTTATTTAAAAGGAGGTGAAGAGTCACTTATCCCATTCTGTATGCTAGGCAAGGTGTTAGGAAGGGGACTACGAGCATGATTAAACCCACAGGGAACGGGCACAAAATCACATGGTAAGAGCTTAGACAGCAGGAAGGCAAAGGGTTCTGGGTTTTCATCAGTGAACTTGCCAACTGGAGTGCAGAGCTTTCCAGGAGGACTTCCTGGAGGAGGAAGTCCAGTTTGAATGGAGAGGTGAGACTGGCCAAGCAGAGAGGAGGAGGAGAGAAAAGGCTTTTCAGGCCTTGGGTACAAACATTTAGGAGGCCAGAGCAAGCTCCCATGGGAATGGGAGAATCCAAGAGATTAAAGCCTGGGAGAATTTTCCAGGCATCAGCTCATTAGGGTGCATAAAATTTGTGTGAATTTCCTTCTTTCCCCCAGAGGGCCAGGTCAGGGAAGAAGGGGCTGAAAAATTGATTAGAACAAGGCTCCACAGGAGGTATTTCCCTTGCTAATGGCTGAATTTGAGGCCTAGAGGCCTCAACAGAAAGTGGGTGAGGGTGGGGAGGCTGGGGTGCATCCCAGCTGAGAGGGATAGCCCTTACCAGGCAAGTTAGACTTCTGGTGAGTCTGTGACTTTTTTAACATCACAGGAAGCAGGTCTCCCTGCTGAGAAAGCAACCCCTCCCCATGTCCGGCATCTCCCAGTAGCTGTCCAACCAGATACCCCAGGAAACACAACACAACCACTCTAGTTTTCATTAACCCTTCAGGAGGTGGAGGCTGCAGGGTTTGGAGGGCTCCCCAAGCTGGGTGCAAAGATCTCCCGGTTTTGCCAGACTCAGCATTACTAACCCCATTTTAACCCCAAACACTGGAGAGTTCCTGTAAAACCTTGTGAACCAGGATGGGGGAGATGCTGAAGCCTGCTCCCTCTGTGGACAGCAGCTGTCTCCGCTGGCGGGGGGACCCACTCCCCTCTCTACACTTCAGAGCAGTTAGATGGAAAGGTGCCCTCTGCAGCGGGTGTGCAACCTGAGCCCGAAACCAGGAAGCACTAGAAAATTCATTATTTTCAGTTCCTGGCAGCCTCCTCCAGGCCCACAAGTCCCTTACCTTCTGTCTCTTACCCCGCCGGACTTCCCCACCGAGCCTCCAGGGTGGCCTCGAGGTCTCAACGCATCCCTGGCTGCACTGCGTCCTGGAAGCTCCAGGCACCCCACAGTCCCAGTTTCCACACACAGGTGTCCCACCACCCCAGGCTTCTGCATCCCAAGGCTTTTCTGTCCTCTTTCCCCATCCCCCTCCCCCCACCAAGCCTGGCCAGTCCAGCCCTTCTTCCTACCACCTTCCTACCTTATGCTCGTCCCTTCGGCCTTCCTAGCGCCCTGCATCAGGCAAACACTCCAAATCTCCCAGGGCAGACTTGACCCCTTGTCCAGGGCCCGCCCCCTAAAGCTAACGTGCTGAGGGGACGGCTGCTAGGCACCTCCGCGCACTCGGCCTCAGTTTACTTAGCTGCACAACAGGGGGTGCTAAAGGGGTCCAACCCGGGGAGCTTCCCAGCCGCTGCCCTCCCGCCCGCCCGCACCTTGCCCTGCTCCGCGGCGAAGCCTCACCTGGTCGCCCGGGCCCCGCGGCTTGCAGGGCTCTGCAGGCGGCCGCTTGGACAGCCAGGCTGGATTCCGGGTGGCTGGGACAGTAGGCGGCTGCCTGCACCGGGCCACCAGCCTGGCGGCCGAACACTGTGCGCAGCAGCGCCTCCAGCAGCCGGAGCCCGGGCGCCACCGCGTCCTCCGGCCCCGCCTCGGCCACCAGCACCCCGACCAGCGCCGCGCCGGCCCGCCTCCGGCCGCGCACGTCCCGCAGCATCTCCCGCAGGCGGCGCCGCGGCTCCCTGGCGGCCAGAGACGACGCGCGGCAAAGCACGAAGACCAGCGGGGAGCGGATGGCGCGCGCCGCCGTGCCCAGCGCCCTCTGCGCCCTGCACGCCGCCCCGGGCCCGGCGCTCTCCGCCGCCGCGCCGCCCGGCTTGCCCGCGGCTGGCTCGGGTGGGAACACGGCCGTGGCGAAGTCCCGCAGCAGCGCGCGGCTCTGCTCGCGCTCCCACAGCTCGCCCACCAGCAGCACCTGCCCGCGGCCCCCAGCCGCCTCCACCAGCGCCTGGAAGGGCGGCTCGGCCGGGCTCGCGGGCCGCGTCTCCAGCGCCTCCAGCTCGCGCTCCATGTCCCTCGGCCGCCGCGGCCCGGGAGCACCGCAGCCCGTCAATCCGGGCGGCTGCGCCCGGGACGGGAGGACACGCCCCTGAGGGCCGAGCCCCGCCGGACCCCCGGCCCGCAGGCGATGGCTCTGGCTCACCCGCCCAGAGCGGGTCCGCGGGGGCGGAGTGGAGGGAGGGGGCTTTCTCCTCCTACCCTCTAAGGGTGGCTCCTCCCGCAGTGCCTTGACCGACTAAGGGAAAAGAGTGTCTCCGATTCATTCATTCACCATCCATCCACCCACCCAACAAATACTTACAGGGCACCTACTAGGTGCAGTCTCAGGGTGGAGGAAGACAAATTATCATGTAAACAAGGTAAGATTGTTCTAAGACCTGCAGTAGATCATTTATTTCTGAGGAGTCCCACATGATTTGGGGGCAGGGCCTGGCTACCTGTGCTCTGTTGGCTTTGGAGTGGAGGTGGAGCGTGCAGATAAGGGGATAGGGAGGTGAGAGAAAGGAGGGGAAGCAGGGGCTACTTCTGCCATCCAGCTCTTCTCCTGGGCCTTGAACACTATCAAAATCTGCTGGAGGACCCACTATTTCCACAAATGTTTACTGGTTAGGATCACAGCCCTTGGCATGGAGGCAAACTGGCTCCCTGTGGGGCAAATCTAGGGGAACAGCAGTGGGACTGCCTTGGTGCTCTGATCTGCCTGGAAACTGTTGGTAGCTCCGAAGCAGGACGGTATTTCCTTTCATCCTAAAGGTCTAGGTGAGTTTTGTCCATCAGAACATTCTGTGATGGTGGGACTGACTTGTTACCCGTACTGTGCAAGGCAGTGACCACAGGCCACATGTGGCTGTTACAGAGCACTTGAACCGAGGCCAGTGGAACAGAATTTTACATGTTATTTAATTTCAATTAAATTTAAATAGCTGTGTGTGGCTAGTGCCTAAGGCTTTTTATTTCTTCATCTATTGCAGAGTAATACACCATAGGCCCCTTTGTGTCAGCAACATGTTAATACCCAGCCCTGTCCTTCACTCTATAACCCTCAGTTCTTTCTTTGCCCTCTATAATTATGCTAAAACATTTCCCCAGACAGGTTTGTGTGTCCCTAAAACAAATCTTTCTTGAACACCTTACTCTTTGGAAACAGTGGAGATTCAAACATGTATAAGACAGCCCCACACTAAATATAATCATCCAACAGTTCTTTTAGCCAGCGTTTGAAGGGAGGGTCCTGCATCTTTATCAGGGTCTTCATTCATGTGACTTTTGAATTTTTTAACTTTCATTTTATTGGTGAGTATAATTATACATAATAGTGGGATTCATTATGCCATATTCATACACACACATAATTTGTCGTTCTCATTCCTCAGTGCCTTTCCTTTCTCTCTGCTCCTCCCTCGCTATTAATTTACATTCCCTTGGAATCTCTACTCAAAGCAGAGATCAGGGCTCCAGATTTGGAGGGAGAATCCCTGGACTGGTGTCAAGATAGAGTTCCAGCACCACCAGGTTGGAGATACAATCATTCCACCTGTGTTAGTCGAGTATCTACTGTATGCACCGTGTACGGTGCTTGGGAGACAACTGTGAACCAGCAAGTTTCTACCTCTGAGATGCTGCCATTCTAGTGGGTTGGGGAAGAGAGACAATAAACAAATAAACACACAAATGGCCATCAATGTTATGAAAAAATAATAATAGTGCAGGCCTGACAAGGTGGCAGTCTCCTTGAGACGTCGGCCCCTGTGCACATAGCACTCACCATGCTACAGAAGCAAGAGGGAGGTTAATGAGGACTCTTAGAAACTAAGGTAAAGCATGAGAAACCCCCACATCCTCCATCCCACTGTTGAAAAGTGGGCTGAGTGAACACCTTACATTCGCGCTCTTGTCTCTGGTGGGGATCATGGCCCACCCCTACCCCACCACAGCTCTGGGAGGCAGAGACAGCCTTGCTGGCTGGGTATGACAATGTCAGGCTGGGCTAGAAGCATGGAATAATGAGACCTGGCAGTCCCTTCTCTGCACTTCATGGTTCAAGAATCCGTGGATTCCAGTCACAGGACTCAGCTCATGAAAAGAACAGTGACCAGGGAGAGTGCTCTGAAGTTCTCTGAGAGGAACTTCATTAGTGATGGGAGGTGGCCCTCAGGGTGGGCAGGTTCATATCATAAAGCCACAGGCAATTCCCTTCTGTCCCCATTCCCTGAGCTCCCCAGGAGGGAGACAATAAAGGTAGACTGAAGCTCAGGTGGCTGTTATCCAGGGAAACATGAACTCTCTGGGAAAAATAATTAGGTTTCTGGAAATCCTAAAACATAGCTGATTTAAAGCACACATGAATTAAGTTTTGTTTCAGCTACTCATAACAGAGTCTAAATTGTGGCATAAGCACAACATTAGTTAATTTCTCTTTCTCATGGACACTTGTCAGTGGGTGACTTATGGTTGATACAATAGCTTTGTTTTTCTAGGTCTCTGAGGACTCACGTTTGATTCCAGGTCACTGTCTCCTCTCATATCTTCATGACCCAAGCCAGATAAAGCTCCAGCCATCGCATTGCATCTGAGCAGTTTGATAGTAAAGGACTAAAGAAGGAATGAAACTCAGATTGATATCAAATCCAAACAGCAACGTTGGATCTGAGAAAAAAAAATGAAAATCGTTTCAAAGTATTGAAGAAAAATCACCTTAAACCTGGATGTGGATTTCTAGCTAGATTGTCAGGTGGACACAGAATCAGAAAGCTTGTCATATTTAGTCCCACTTTGAAAACACAATTAGAGGAACTAGTCCATCAATAAGTAAATCAGGGATTGGGGGCACACCCCCGCAGCAGGGTGCTCCCCTGGCATGCACAAGGCCCTGGGCTCACCTCCAGCATCATCACAAAAAAGAAAGGAAGAAAGAAAAGAAAAAGAAATCTCAGAGTGCTCAGTGATAGCAAGAAGAGGGAAAGGGGGTTAATTAAACCCCTGCCTCCATTCTCTGCAGAGCCAGCAAGCTCAGGCCCTTGGCTCTCCCTCCTGACCACAGTTCGCTCATGAGCTGAGGGCTGCAGTTGGAGTCCCTGACCCGTAGAATGGGGAGGAAGGACTGCCAGGTCTCTTTGTTCTGGGCTTGGAACCCCAGGTCACAGCTGTGTTCTCCTCCAGTGCCTGGTATGGGTGGGGTTGGTGACAGTCCCCACCAAAGACAAGAGCACAGTGTAAGGTGTTCACTTAGCCTACTCCCCCGTTTTTTTTTTTGTTTTTTTTGTTTTTTGGCACTGGGTGGAGGGTGTGCTGGAGGCCTCCCTCCTGTTTTCACATTGATTTCTAGCAGTCCTCATAGCCTCTTTCTGCTTCTGTGGCAGGCTTAGGGTTCTATGCATAGAAAGGGGACAGTGCCTCAAGGACACTGCTAACCTTGTCTGTGGGCGCAAGCTGAGAAGGTGGCAGAGCCAAGGAGGGCCTTACCAGGTGAGCTGAAAGGAAATTGAGTCCACCTAGGTCACCTTTTGAGGAGCAGGGGAAGCCAGACTGTAGATGAGAGAACCTTCATTTTAGCCTCTCTCTCGAGGCTGATCTTAATCCAACACACTCTGCCTCCTGAGACATGTATCCTCAGCCCCTGGATTTTCAGATAACAAATCCCAAACTTTCCAGAGGTGGGAAGAGGGACAGATCAGAGAAGGGGTGGAATGTTAAGCAAAGGTTGGAGTCCAGGGCCAGTGGACTTTATCTTTCTCTGTTATTTACATGGCAAAGATTCTGGTAGGAAATTAACAGAAAATTTAAAAAAAAACTAAAAAAAAAAAAAAAGGGGGGGGGGTTTGCCAAGAATGCTCCTTCCTCCTCTCCATCCACATTATGGGAAATCATCTGGTGTTTACTTGATATCTGACACAATCATTATGAATTTATCTTTATTGTATGGAGAGTGGAATGTCATCTGGAAATATGCTTAGGAATTTATGTCTTCATGCAGTGTTATAATCCTATAAGAATTTAAGGATTTTGAGTTTTTCAGCCTTTTCTTCTTCTTCTTCTCTTCTTCTTTCTTTGGGCATGGACCTGGGGGAGATCAACATTAAAAAAAAAAAGTCACTAATTTGTTCTGGAGGCAAATTGAAAGACAAATCTGTAATGAAGTTCAACCTGCTTGGCCCCTAGTTCCTTGGTCACTAGTATATACAGTGGGGCCCAGCAACTGGATGTCCATTTGATTATAAAACTTAAGTATTTATTTTAGTGTAATTCACAATCTTCTTCTCAGCATTTTTTTGAAAGAAAATAGGGACAATTTTAAAACCCACCCATTTTCCTGTTATTACTATTATTAGCACTCTAGTTTTTAGCAAAGTATTTGCTCAACAAATATTTATTGAGGGGCCATTATGCATCAGTTGCTGAATTAAGTCCTGAGATATGCATAGTTCAAAACTTAGATGGTCACTCTATGCCTCCGCCAGACCTCACAGCCCATAGTACATGGCTACAAATAAGATCATATAGCACATAGTGTTCTTCTATCTGGTTTAGTCACTGGATTTATATTTTCTCCATACTTTTCCACGTCAACACCTATAGACTGACATCATGTCAGACAGCTGAATATATTGTGTAGACAATCAGCCATAATTCATCCCAGTGAGCGCCCCACTACTGTGAACTTTTATGCAATTATAAAAAGCAATTTCTGTGCACAAACTTACATGCACACACCCAGGAGCTGTGTTCACCATTTCAGGATGCTCTTTAATCGTCCTCCAATACACCAAGGTAGAAAGAAAACTGATCCTGTGCCTCAGCGTCTTTTTGACTCTTCTGGTTTGATGACTGCAGTTGTCCCTGGGTGGTCTTCCTGTGCACTGTCTGGCTTGTTTCTTTTGGGTTTTGCTGACTGAGTCTGCTTGCAAGAAGAGGGGGTTCCGCTTCCTATTTATAATGGCAAAACTACTTTCTACAGCAATGGCATCATCTCATGTTTTGGTCTTGTTTAGTCTCATTTTGTTTCGTGCTGGGGATCCACCCAGGGCCTCATTCATACTAGGCAAGCACTCTACCACTGAGCTACAGGCCCAACTCCTAGTCACTTGTTAATGATTAAATTGCCTTTTCACTTCTGGTGGTGGAGGAAGTCAACTCCCCTTCTACTTAACACCACTACCATCTTCCTGCATTATCCTGGCACTCAGGTGTGTATCAGATAAGATGAATGAATGACTGGACAGATTCCAGGACTGGAGAGACGGCGGGGTGAGGAACAGACAGTTCGCAGGTAGGAGGTCACAGAAGGGAAGTGGAGGCGGATGAGCTAGCAGGCCTGAGTTCAACAACATGGATAAACTAAAGACGCATGCCTCAGTTCTAGAAAAAACACTGGAAACACAGAGACTTAGTTTAAAAAATAATAGATGGAATAATGGCAAATTATAGAAAGCTCTGGAGGGAGGATCACAAGTTCCAGGCCTTCCTGGGCCACTTGAACTCCGTCTCAAAATAAAATTGAAAAGGGCTGGGGATGTGGCTTGGTGGTAGAGTACATTCTTGGCATGCCCAAAACTTGAGTTCATTTCTCTAGTACAAAAAAAAAAAATCATAGTCAATGCACCCAAGATGAAAGACAGAAGGATGAAGAGGGTAGGGGGAGACATAGGGGACAAATAGAAAACTCAACCATATCAATGGTTATTCACTGTTAATGAAATCATTTCTTTTTTGCAAAAAGTGGAGATTGTCAGGCTGAAGAGAAAAATGTATAGAACATTCACCAAAGTAGATTATAGGTTGGGTAATAAAACAAGTGTTAACAAATTTCAAAGAGCTGGAAATATACATGATCTGAGGTATTAAATTTGTAATCAGTCACAATGTGGAGAGAGACCTTGGAGGATGAGAGACATGCTGGGGTGCTCCAGCTCCTACCAAACTCCCAGGTGAATGCAGCAGCATGAATAGCCTCAACTCCTCCTCCCAGAGCAGAACCACCACCCTGTTGAGCCCCACCAACCCACAGAGTCACAAGAAATAATGCTTCATTGTTGTTTTAAGCCATTAAATTTTGGAGGTGGTTAGTTACAGTGGCAATAGACACTTTGAAACACAGAAAAAGCTTTGGATCAGGGATGGTCTTTCAGAATCATCCTAAAATGAGATCCAGGTCTTTTTACCCCTATGTGGACCTGCTGTCATTTTGTGTTGCCTGTGGGAAGTGGTTTGGTATTGGGTGAGACAACTTTCTGTAGCCAAAGCAGTGCCCAGCGAGAGGTGCGGCTGCAAACACTTAGCAGCAAACAGGCTGGCCCCTGGGGTGATTAGCATCTTGCTCTGGGGAGCACATTACAGCATTCACTACAGACACAGTTCTTCACCTTTCGTGACTTCCTACTGGTGCAATATAGGATGCCAAGACAAACCTCTAGCAGAATGTATCTAGCTTATGAAGAGGAGGAAATAAGCAGACTAAAAACATAGTAGGTGAGTCAGGGAGTGTCATGGACCTGGATTTCTGGCCCTATGTGAATGCTTTCCTGCTACAATTGGCTATCTGCTGGTAACCATTTGTTGGCTACCTCATTCCGTTCTCTTATGAAAATAACCTAACTTCCATTCAGATAATCTGTTTTCCCTCATGCAGCCTACTTGCTTCAAGGGAAGATGACCACAACCCATCTCATGGTGGGTCCTGGGTGGCTTAAGCCAATCAAGAGTTACCCACCGCTTCCAACCATTGGTGGTTACATGACCTAAGTTGGTCCAATAAGAGTGATCATAGGACTCTCACTTGGAATGCTAGGAAATTCACAGACTCAAAGGCACTCTCTCAGGATGTGGCCAATGACCCATTGCAACCCAGGGTGCTGTTGGCAGCAGTTGGGGCTCAGAATACAATACCCCAAAGCATGGCACTTTGGCCTGCTGAGGAAATCGGAAGCCCGGGGAAGCAACCTTGGAAGCCAAGTGTCTCTGCCCTCCTCCTGTCCCCTGTCTCCTGCTGGGCTCTCTCCCCCGAAGTGAGTCATAGAAACTAGAATTCTTCTTCCCAAGGCAGGTCATGGAACCTAGAACCTCTCTTCCCCAAAGCAAGCCATAAAATCTGGAAGCTGTAGAACTTTCTTCCTTGAAGAACTTCATTCCAAAGGTTTCTGTCCATACCCAAGAGGAAGGAGTGCTGCACAGAGAGGCCAAGAAGAACCTGAGCAGAAGGCCTTGTGGGGTTTCCCCTCACGTGTTACCATCGCTCATAGCTTTTTGTCCAAGGTTCTAAGGGTGGGGAAGCAACCTTAGAGCCAAGTCTCTCTGCCCTCCCCCTGTCTAGTCTCCTGCTGTGCTCTTGAAAAGTGGGAAAAGCAGGTTGTGAATATATGGTGTGAAATCAGAACCCAAGGGGAAAATGGCCATTTTAACCAAATGATTGCTTGGTGGAGGAAAGTGTGGAGAAGGGAAAAGAAATCTGTTTTCCCAGTTATCTCAGCTCCAATCTCTCTGATGCTGGAGAGGAGGAAGAAGAGGCACCCCTCCTCCTGGGAGAGCTTCTGGGGAGCAAGGACACCCAGGAATGGTAGCGGGGTGGTGGCTGAGCCAGGAGCACCAGCTTAGGGCGCTAGTCTTTGTGATGCCAAGCAGGCTGGGGAAGGATGACAGAAATGTGCCCTGCTCCCCGACACAAGTCATGCCTGTGGGGTCTGCTCCTCTGGGGAGGGGCTGAACCCAGGGCCCCTGGTTCTGGGAGTGAAAGGAACAGGCAGCAACAGGCCCCTGGAGAGGGGAGGAAGTGGCTTGGTTAGAGGTTGAGCCAGCTCACTGGATTTCAGCTGCTGGTGGGCGACAAATCTGTCTTGCTGAGTCCCTAGTCATCCAGGACTAATGTGGCACCAATGGGGTAGCAATGAATAAAAAGGGTGGAGGAGACCAAGGCCAAGGTGGCAGTGGGGCATCCCCCCAAAGGGTGAGCCTCCTACCTCTGATTTTCAAGCCTGGCTTCCCAGCTCCAAGTTCTGCCCCTTTTAATGCAAACAGTATTTCTAAAGGCGTTGCTTGTGCCCGGGGAAATCCTCTCAAGGCCTATGTGCGAGTTTAAGTGTTTGAAAAGAAGAATTTACTTTTGAGAAATTTGCATTTTCAGAAAGATTTCAATAGGGGGCTTTGAATACGGGCTTTGCATGTTCGCCATGGCCTGTGAAAAGTGCGGGGAGGACCAGAAAGGAGCAGCTGGGCATGGCCCCAGCGCGTAGGCTGAGGAGGCGGGAAGCTGCCCGTGCCAAGAGCCCGCGGGATGCTGGGATGTGTGTTTTGAGTCACTTTGCCCCTGGAGGTTTCCAGGGAGCTGCTTTGCAAGAGGTAAACTTGCAGCCGATCCCCTGTGCCAAGGGCCTCCTTCCCAGCTCTGCAGCCTCTCCTTGCCTCTCCTTTTGAAGAGGAGCAACGGAGGGCCCTGGGTGGCTTGGAGGGCAGAGGCCGGCTATTAGTATTTAAATGGAATTCCACCAAACACTCTCACCTCCTCTTCCATATCTTCTTGCCTCAGGACTCACCTGCTGATGCACCTTTGGCTCTGAACCTAGATCACCTTTGTTCTGAAAAAGGTGAGAGAGAAAGCCTGGAAGCAAGGCATTATTTAATACCTGACCCCCTAAAAGTTCACCCAGTACAGGAGCCAGCTATGGGTCTTTGGCTCACCTCAGGGTATACAACCCCTGGAGGTCAGAGTGAGAAAGGTGGACGTTTCTGGTCAACATACCTCCTCCACTCCTGTCTCTTCCACCCACATCAACCCGTCAGGTAGTCCTCTTTGAAGTGATAGGAGACAGACAGGCAAGAGTGGTGGGAACATGAGGTTTAGGGAATCATTCTGTAAAATAGTCCCACTGTTGGGCTGGAGTTGTAGCTCAGTAGAGCACTTGCCTTGCAAGTGTGAGGCACCGAGTTCAATCCTAGCACCTCATAAAAACAAATAAAGGCATTGAGTCAATCTACAACTGAAAAATTTTATTTTTTAAAAATACACCCAGTGTGCTGACCCCACACACTTTCAAAAAATATTATTATTATTATTATTATTTTTTAAAATTTTTTATTTGTCCTTTTCACTTATACCTGGCAGTAGAATGTATTTTGGCATATCACGCATACATGGAGTGTAACTTTCCATTTTTGTGATTGTACATAATGTGGAGTTACATTGGTTGTGTATTCATTCATATATGAACATAGGAATGTTTTGTCCAATTCATTCTACTGTCTTTCCCATTCCCATTCCCCCTCTCTTTCCCCAACTCCTGCCTGTCCAATCTGGTGAACATCCCCTACACACTTATTGTGAATCAGCATCTGCATGTCAGAGAAACATTCAGCCTTTTTTTTGAGGGAGATTAACTTATTTCACTTAGCATAATATTCTCCAGTTTTATCCATTTACTGGAAAATGCCATAATTTTATTCTTCTTTAAGGCTGAGTAATATTTCACCGTGTATATGTACACAGTTTCTTTATCCATTCATCTGTTGAAAGGCATCTAGGTTGGTTCCATAGTTTAGCTATTGTGAATTGAGCTGCTATAGACACTGATGTGGCTGCATCACTGTAGTCTGCTGATCTTAAGTCCTTTAAGTATATACCATGGAGTGGGATAACTGGGTCAAATGAAGGTTCCACTCCAAGTTTTCTGAGGAATCTCCATATGCTTTACAGAGTAGTTGCCACAATTTGCAGTCCCACCAGCAATGTATTAGTGTGCCTTTCCCCCCACATCCTCGCCAACATTTATTGTTGCTTGTATTATTGATAATTGACATTTTGCCTGGAGTGAAATGGAATCTGGGTGTAGTTTAAATCTGCCTTTTTCTAATTGGTAAAGATGTTGAACATTTTTTCATATTTGTTGATCGATTGTATTTCTTCTGTGAAGTTCCTTAGCCCATTTATTGATTTTTATTTATTTTTTTTGATGTTAATTTTTTTGTGTTCTTCACATATCCTGGAGATTAATGTTCTATCTCAGGTGCCAGTGGCAAAGATTTTCTCCCATTCTGTAGACTCTCTCTTCACATTTTTGATG